TTACATGGTTCAAACCCCACATCCCAAGAGGCGGCAGACTTGGCACCTATCTTGGCACCTATCTTCCCTCCCACCGCACTTAGCGCAAGAAGAGGTAGTTCCTGCGCCACCTGAAGAGCACTTCTACGAGAATTTCTTCCAACACCTGCCCCCCGCTCCTCAAGACAATGAGATCGACCAGAGCTGGATAGGCCCATCATCCCCATGCCAGAGGGCTATGTACCCTTCTGTCCACCACCGCTAGCGCCACTCACTTTGGACCCTATGTCTTCCCCCACCGCATTTCTTAATCTGGATTCAAATCTCGAGAGTTTTGACGATGCCCTCAAATCCATGCAGTCCCAGAACACCACCACGGGATTGGTCTGTTCTCCTCCCCGCCTTCGTTACACCACGTCGGTTGGCACACCTCAAACCACATCGGCCACGTCAGTCATCACACCTCGCACCACGTCAGTCGGTACACCTAGTACCACATCAGTCGGTACACCTAGTACCACATCAGTTGGTACCATGCCAGTCATCACACCTCGCACCACGTCAGTTGGTACAACGTCGGTCATCACACCTCACACCATGTTGGTTGTTACACCTCAAACCACGTCGGTTGGTACCACGTCGGTCATCACACCTCGCACCACGGTGGTTGACATGCCTACCATCACCCATTCACCTGTGGTCAGGTCTTCCACCACACCCGCCATCACACCCTCTCCAGCTGCACCCACAACTACCATACCCATCACCACATCCTCAGTAGCTGCACCCACAACTCCTGTGACACTGGGAACAAGGCCTTCGCAGCTTATTTCTGGGGTGGGACTTGATGCTCAAAACCCCAGCAACGTTGTAGATGAACGTCCGGCAAAGCGCCAGAAACGGGCTCAATGCACACGTGCAGGAGAGACAGATCCGCTACAGGCTGTCTCCTCCGGCCGAGGGAAACGACAAAGATTCCAGTCCACTCGAGCTGCTGCCGCCAATGCGATTGGTTGATTATTAGTTGAACACATCTATAAATAATGTACTTGAAATTTAATTGTCTTGAGCTTAACAGTATCATGGTGGCGCGAGCACCAGTCTCTGACTCACATCAAAAGAAATTTTGATAGAACAGCCCTCCGCCGGGCACTTACATAAACAAGGCAAATTCTGATCTGCGCATGAGACAAGTGTCACTGAGTGTAAATGGCGACCGAGGATTGAAAATATGTAAAATAATCATTTAGAGAGGTCTCATACGACATGGCTGGTAGGCTCAGACAGACACTAAAACTAAGAGTACAGAAAGGTCCTCCTCTAAACCGGACTTGATCAGCGTGTTTGGCATAGAGCGGCTTAGGTTTGCAGTCTCAGCTCAGACTGCAAACCTCACCGGTTGGACAAAGTAAAAATGCTGTGTGGGCGTTGAGTTAGTTTGATATATTCACTGAAAATTGAAATGTACGCAATGGTACAGTAGTGAGCCTGCAATTCACTGTGCGACAGAGGTGCAGAGGCATTTGGAAGGTGTGAGAGGGCGGTGGATGGCACAATAGCCTAGGCTGGTGGTGAGTGAGAGAGTGGAGGCCGTGGGTGGCTTGGCGACATTACTGGAGGGTGGCAGTACTAGAAGATGCAAAATGGCAGGGTCCAGGCCGTCAGAGTCCTGCCAGTAAGTAACACTAAAAAGCAAATAATACCTGGTCAGAACACTCGAAAGTCAATATATTTACTCACCGAACAGAAAGAGCCAAGAGTCCGAATGAAGATATTGATCTGAGAGCTGGACGGTTAGAGCAGGTAAAAATTTGGAAGATTCATTGAGTGTCGACTGCACCGTGTTTTGGGTACGATTGTAATGCAAGGGAACTCTCCAAGCCACCCGCAAACTGCCGAAGAACTGTACATTAAGTCAGCTGACACAGAAAGAACAAGGAATAACCAACCGCTGAAAATATCAGTACAGCAGGCACAACATAAAAAATGAGATTTCAATGCGATAAGCATTTTTTTGAAGCAATTTAGTAGGTTGGGCTTTGGCTCGTTTGATCTTGTTTTCAGCTTGGTCCAAATAGCTTTTGATCATGTTTGACAAACTGATTAAAACGTCGGAACGGTACGAAACTTCAACAAGACCAAATACGGGAGAAGCCGTTACACTGCGTTGACAACCGGAGCAAGCTTAAAAGTTGGCAGCGCCGGCCCCTAGTATTTGTAATGCAAGGGAGCTGCCGAAGAACTGTACATACCTCTGCGTGGGTAAATGTGCTAAATAAAACCATGCATAAAAATATATTGGCTAAATAAGGTCGGCTGACACAGAAAGAAGCAAGGAATAACCAACCGCAGAAAATATTGTCAGCTGACAAATATAAAGAATCAAGGAACAACCGAAATAATGGAGGAACAATCAAAAAGAACCCAGAGAACCAGGAACAGGCTGGATGAAAGCATCTTTTTCGGATTCACCAGTGATACAACAGTGATACATCAGCCTGCTACTGCCTGTAAGTACAACAATTAATGTATTACATTTTTGCTACCACTGTAAGCCAGGTAATGTATTAATATCACAGTATAGCCTGTATGGTGCTATTTGGGCTCAAAACCCGAAGGGTTTTATGACCCGAAACACAGTTTCGAATCTGCGTAAGTGTCCAGGGTGAGCCGTGATACCCAAAATTAAGGAGCCCTGTGACACGTCAGGCTTAGGCTGGACTCCCAATGATAAGGAGGAGGGTGACGAGTGCGTACCTTGATTAATGAACTGGCGGCATGGTATAACGAGTGAATGGCTCGAGGATTGGAGATTCTTGAAGGTAGGGGGCCATGATCATCGCGTGTTGCCGCAAATAAAGAGTAAATGCATCACTAGACCAGCGCCCCATCGATTTAACGACATCGAAGGGGATCCCTCGTAGGAGGTACTCCAGTGTACCTCCTATGCGAAGTCCGTGTCCCTTTAGATTTGGCAGATTATTTCTCTTCACTATTTCCCCAATCCTTTTGAGAAAGGCTGTGCGCGTTAGTGGTCTGATGCCCGATGAATGTCTCCACGCAAAGAGATGGTCTGTAGAGGACGGATTATTGATCGTGAAGTGGTTGATGAGCGCCGCTTTAGGGTCAGTGTGGTTCGACTGGTGCGCCCAATAAACATCCTCACCGACGAGTGAGGTTTTTGTCCGGGGTAGATGAATCTTCGTGACGAGTAGGCCGTTGCGGTCTTCAGCATCTATCTGCAAATCTGAGCGTTTAACGTGCAGTGCACCGTCAAAGCTTTTTATGGCTTTTGTGGTGAATTCTCCAAGACGCGCCAGGGAATAAAAGGTGCTCGTGAGACACGCAAAGATGGCAGCGTCGAGCGGTGTGGAGATGTCGAGATGATTGCGAATATCGAGGATGATACTGACGGTAAAAGGTGCACGTTTCTGGCGTTTGGAGGCTTTTGGAGCTAGAGTGATTGCGCCGTCTAATGCTGCCTTTAGTTGGTCGTGGTCTATGCCCCAGATTTGGCCATGTAAAATGTGCCAGGCTCGTATTGCATAAACGTAGTTGGCTAACGTTTTCCCTGCGTACGAGCCTGCGCAACTCGTGACGAAAGCGAGGATGGTTAAAGTATCTGCGGGACAGCGTTGTGCTTCCGGGATGAACCTCACATCGCAAAAAACATGGAACACCAACAACCCTGCGCCATAAACTTCTCTGGTTCCTTGCGCCCATGCTAAATTCATGACGGCCATTACCCTCTCGATATCTTCTTCTGACACGGCTAGAATCTTCCCGGTGTAGGAGACGCCCTGTCTGCAGCCCCGTACGGCACCATTTCCCCTTACTGGACAAAGTCACGCATACCCTCCGCAGGCCGTTGCGGACCATCACACGAGGTTGCGGAATCTGCGCACTCATCGCATCGCAACGCACTATCCGTCCATGTCCTGTCTGCATCCGTCCGTCCTCACTGGTGCGTTCTCATCCTTAGTTAGTCATTCCTAACCGTTCGCAGGGCCAGTTACATATCAGTTCCCATGCACGAGGTCGCATAGTGCTACTTACATATTATCCCCCTCCGACTTCGCGTACATATGCATTCGCTTATACAGTTCCGGTTTCTTACGGACTCTGTTATATACTACGTTGCGGACTGGTATCCATCACTTTCCTACATTCCCTCTCTGGTTGTGTGTTGCGGAGTCACTAGCTTAGTCTTACCTTGTCTTTCCTTGCTTGAGCAATCACTTGTTTGCCTTCTCATCCCGCGCGAACGCTCGCATTGCCATTGACAGTTGACTATTGCTAGTCCTAGTTGAGTTCCTTTGCAAGGCGGTTTCTGCACATCTTCGCATATACCTGGTACCTAGTTCGCTCTACCCGATTACCTGTTCCGATACCTGGTACCCTACCCGTTTCGCATACCTGGTACCCTACCCGTTCGCATACCTGGTACCCTCTAGACATTCACTCGTTTCTCCGCATCCGCATACCTCGCATCTCCGCATCCGCATACCTCGCATCTCCGCATCTGCATACCTCACATCTCCGCGCATTCTCGCATCTCCGCATCTCCTCACATACCTAGCTGTTCTGTCTTCAGCGCATCACTTCCTTCTTCACTGTTCCCCTCGCTCATACTTGAGGAACTGCTCTCAGAGCTATCCCCTTGGGTCGACTACTATTCTCGCACCCAGCAGGATCGGTACGCTATCACTATAGCGGACTTCTACGATTTCTCCCACACCGGTATGGTCGTGTGCTGATCTGCTCTGCAGCGGGAACCATAGTTTGAGTCTGTTGCGTGCGATACAATGGGGACGAAGACCAGATGGAATGGGTTTGAGACCCGACTTGTAGGGTTGGGGTTTAGCTACAAGGTCAGCAGGAAGAGAAGCACCGAAACGCGTGCTAGTTGGCCCATTGTCGCTCGTGGACGTGGTAGCAATGGTCTGCGATGGTGGCGGCGTCATTATCTGCATGATGGAGATCGGAATCGTCGACAGCAGCGCTTGTTGAGACGTTGGGACTTCCGTCGAGTTTGAACGGTTCCCTCGCGCTGGTATCGGGGTCGAAAGGATCGTATATGAATCGATGGAGTGCGTGTGGGATTGGGAAGAATGGGAGTATGAGTTCTTGACTGGGGTAGATACCTCGAGAGGGGCCGTCAGCCGGGTTGTGTTCACTAGGTATGTATGACGGGTAGAAAGAGTATGGATCTGTGAAGCTGTGGATGGACGCGAGGATTCTCCGGAAGACCGTATTGACGGTGGCGTTTCGACTACGCCTGTTACGCCATCCTTCGACGACTCCCTGATTGTCGCCGAAGAGGCGATAATTGCGTTCTGGTCCTCCCAGCTGGACAAGGTATTGAACCAAGAGCTCAAACCCAACCGCTTCTGCCCAGCCGATATCCTTCTCTCCGTCGAGGGTTCTCCATCCATCTCGGAGAATCCACGCTCTCCATCGAGAGCCAATGACGATAGCAATCCCGACGCTTGAGCTCGCGTCGGAATATGCTTGTGGGTCATGTAGGCTGGTAATGGGTCTTGGAATGGGGCAGCCCACGAAGGGCGATTTGAGAAGATCGAGCCACCAATCGAGTTCTGAGTGAAGCGTTTTAGCTGGGCTACGTGGGAGAAAAGGACGGTTGGAGGCCGTGCGGAGCATAGCCTCGAGAGCAGTGAGGTATGCGCGCCCCATTGGTACGACCAATGAGGCGTGGAGGAGTTTGCCGTATAATTTCTGGACGTCTTTAAGTACGTGTTTCTTGCGTGCTCGCCAGTCTTCGATGGCGATAATATACTTCCGTTTCTTGAGTTCCTCCAAAAAGACCACGTTGCGTGCGATATCCCACATGAGGCCAATGTACATATTAAGGTAAGCGAAGTGCGCGTCTTTCGCGTGTTTCCAAGGTATACCGAGTTCGTCAGACGTTTCATCGATATCTGCGAAACAAAATGTGAAGGCTTCGTCTTCACTGGATCTTGGGGATGAGGCCGAAAGATCGCGAACGGGAAAGCGGCAGTCCTCATCGTATTCGTCGAGTGTCCCATCTTCGAAGATATATCCCCCAAACCAAATTCTCCCCCCATCCTGGTGCTGCCCTTGTTTGATAATGTCCTTGTGAGCCTTTTCTCGCTGTAGGTTGTATTCTGTGAGGTGTTTTCGGAGAATGCGAATGAAAAGATGGTCATCGACCCATCTGGATGTAGGGCCGATACCGCGGTGCCTAAATAAATCCAAACCTGCATCGGCCACGACGCCGTACGCACCTGCTGATGGCCAAAGGCCGAAGCAGGTGCAAGTGTCGATGCAGAAATGGGTGTCAGAGATGCGAACAACGGCTCCTGGCCACTGCGAGTGGTGCAGTGGTATGGTGCGGTAAGCCTCGGAAACATCCCTGGTGGCCAACTGAGATCCCGGTGGTAAGCGACTGATAGTGAGCGCAAGGACATGGAACGTGCCCCACGTGCTGGCGAAATTGTCTGGATCAATGAACGAATTAATCGACGGATTAGGAAATTTGGGCGAGGGAGTGTGTGGGAAGGAATAATTCTGTATGACGCGGTAATCTCCTGGCCGACCAGGTTTGGGTATGATAGAGAATGGAGAAGATTGGAAGGGTCCAATGAGCTCATGGACTTCTTCAGCTTTGAGAGGCCCAATGAATCTGCCTTTATTAATTTCGGACTGAATGATAGACAGGAATTCTTGTTGATATGTGACAATAGAATCTTTGTTGGGAGGCGCTTGTGTGGTTCTAATTTTAGGAATATCAAGACGAAAACCATGACGAATACCGTCAGGTACATGCGGATATCTATCAATAAGACCTGCGAGAACGAGTTTCGCTTTCCAGACGTCTGAATTATAAGGAGAGATGGCCTTAAGTTTTCTGAGCTCGAGGACACGCTTGAGCTCCATGAGAGGAGCCGGCGCATCCTGAGCAAAAATGGCGGCGATCGTGGGTGGTGTCGATACACCCACTTGCTCTCTGCCAATCGCTGCAGATGGGACGTCCGTCTCGCATTGTGAGTACTTTGCTGAGACGGGTGGTAAGAGTATCGAAGGCGTTGTCCCACGTTTTGAGGGACTTGCATTCGATAATCTTGTGGGGGTTTCGCCCAAGGCACACAGCACAAGCGGAAAGGGCGCTTCCGGTTGTGCTGGCTCGAAAATCCTGGCGCGCTCTCTTCCTCCCATTGCCATGCTCTGGGGAAGCCGATCGCTTCAGGTTGCGAGAATCGCGTTGTTGCTCGCGTCGATGACCCGACGAAGTGTTGCTAGTTGTGGCGACTCGCTGATCAGCCATGTAGTCCCTCTGGTTGTCTCGTTTCGAACGTTCCTGCCAGTACACCCTCTCTCTAGTCCGCTCGAGAAGCTTGGTGTTGATGCCAGAGAGGTCATAAGGACCTGCGGACGATTTGGCTACGACATGCCAGCGCTTGCGCTGCTCAGCTTGATACGCTAGTAAGGTCTTCTGCGCTATCGGGTCTCGAAGAGAGCGGTATTCATGGACTTGAAGATTTTTCCAGAAAATCGCTAGCATTCTGACTCGATCTACCGGCCAGTCTGCTTCCTCAATGGCTGTGATGAAGCGGGGACAGGCTTGGCAAAAGTCCTCAAAATTGAGATCCTCGTCGTTTACAACGGAGGCAGCGTTGCGAGAGGATGCTGCTGAAACCCAGGCTGTTGAGCCGTCTGGGAGAGTAGACAGAACCATGGCGTCATCTTCGATGACAGTCTTCTTGGTTTGTGCGTCATCTAAACCGTCATTAGTAAAATACCACAGTTCCACGTATTCTCCTTTGTCAAGTTTCCGAGTCGCGTAGGCCGATGGAGTAATTGCGAGTTCGTCCGGTACTCCAGAAGCTTGGATGGGCGCGTACTTGTGTTTAAGCTTCCTTTTCTCTTCTTTGCGCGCTGCTTCCTCTTCTTCGAGATGTTCTTGTTCCTGCCTATCCTCTCTTTCCTCTTGTTGAAGACGAAGGTTATCACGTTGCTCCCTGTCTGCTTCGACTTGCTCTTGCCACTGAGCTTTCTCAATGTCGTTAGCAGCTTCCCAAATGTCTCTGAGAATCTGTATCGCTTGGTGTTCGTCGATGTGCTCCGAAATTATTCGGGCTCGTGCCCCGGCGAAAGGTAAAATCACGTAGTCCGGGCAAATGTTGAGATTGGGATCATTCCGAATCCCAGGCATAACGGTTGTGAAAACAACGAGTGTGTGTAAAAGTTGCGACGAAACGAGAGTGTAGTCGATCTGAAGAGAACTTGCAAGTAGTACGTAGTGGTACGAAGCAAGAAAGGTAAAGTCCCGAAAAGCTGTGCCGCCGCGTAGACACAATTCTATGAAGTTTTCGTGCCTCAAACTTTCGTAGAATATAAATTATGATCAAACAGTCAACATATTATGTAATAAGCAGCATTTTAATGCAGATTTTAATGGTATCACAATCAAGTCACAATGTCATCTCCGCGCCATAACAGTTGTATTTCGACGACATTCTGACCAGTCTCATAAGAAGGATGTGATGAGCATTCCAGATTTTACTGTATCAATTCGACCTTAGGTTCGTCACAGCTTCGCCAACACCTCGAACTGAACCTATATCGTGTGACAGTCACAGGCATCTGGCGAGGACGAACCTAAACGTGTGACATCTGGTTCTCTCGTATTTTTCTGCAAAATAAAACAAATTCTAACTAGTGTGCATCATATTCTCCATATTGCGTGTTTGCAATGCGCTGTCGCTTTCCTCTGCCGGCCTCCTCAATACCCTCCGAGTCACTAGGTGAAATCACGTCACAGTGCTTGTCAGCAGCACCGTCCACTATCAGAGACCCATCCATGCCCATAATGTATCCTTCTGGCATGTAGGTCTTGTCAGACATGATATGTTCGAGCACCACCTCCAATGGGGCCTCGTCATCTGAAAAAACGATGTAAGTCGGCCACCGTGAGGGAGTGATCAAACAGTGGTAAATTGGTGAAGTCGAGAAGAGCCAAGATGGGGAGGTGCGGAGCTGGAATAAATGAATCATAGCATTGAGGAAATACAAGCAGATGTGCGTAATGCTGTTGCGAGTCGAGAGAAAGATCAATAGCGCTATCCTGGATGAAAGAATTCATGGGTGGCTGAGACGGGGACAGTCAGAACAGACAAATAAACTTACTACATTATATCAATGTACCCTTGCGTTCAATATCCCGCCGAGGCACTACAGAAAGCTAGAAAGAAGTCAGATATGGATATGTAGCAATCCCCGTCGTCGACTGAGGATCAACTGAGGATCAATCCGACTCGGAGTCTCCGAGTCCTTCAGCGACGCGGCGCGCACGTTGGCGAACCTATCTTAAGTTCGTCACAGGTCACAGCGATGAATGAACATGCGAACCTACCATTATGTCATGTCACACCCCAACCCCCACAAACCTAAGGTCGAATTGATACAGTATTGTCATTTTAATGGCATCACAACCAAGTTATATTTTCATCTCAATGTTGTGACAATTGTATTCTAACGGCAGAAAGACTGTACATGGCGTAAGAAATACAAGGTAAGGAAAGCGGACATCCCATTCAAGATGGCTCCAGCGTCCGTGGCCTACCCAGCTCCTCCCTCCTCTGTGCACACTCTCGATCCTCCTCGCTCTCATCCTGTTCTTCACTCTCGTCCTCCTCCTCAACGTGTTCCAGCTCATGCAGTGTAATTGTATGAATGCTAGATGTATCATCATCGTCATGTCCACAGTGACCACACTCTAAGTCTATGTGCATGCCATTGTCATGCTGGGAATGTGCGGATGAAGCGTGGATGAGGTCACGGAGAGCTGCGACCTCGGCCTTGATGGCCTCGTGCTCTGCGAGCATGTCCTCGAGGGCGCAGACCTTGTCGACGTGGCTTGCGAGGTTGGCTTGGGTCTCATGTAGCTCTGAGTGCAGCTTGGAAAGGCCAGGGTGCTCTGGGGGAGGTGCAGGGGGTTCTAGATTTGTGGGCGTGGCAGATGTGGGCGTGGGTGCAGAGGTGGTCGAGGCTTGTTGTGAACGCACAGGAGGGAGTAATTGGTGGAAGTGTGGTAGGTTTTGGGGCTGTGGGGAAGGGAGATAGTCAGTATTTAGGAAGAAAGAGAGTGGCGGGACAGACTACCAAGCCACTGAGCATGTCGTGAATGTCATTCATTGAAGAGCTCAGGGAGTGCAGTTCTGCGCCAGTGTCATGGCTCTTCTGGAGTTCACCCTGAAGTCTGCTTAATATGTGGTCAAAGGAAAGGCCATTTTGCCCGGTGGTCGCATACTGCCGCCCATGCCACCGAGCTGGCTCTGGAGGGTAGGGCGGCGCTGTGGATGTGCAAAGCTAAAGTTATTATTACTTCCAGATGATGAACCAGAGGGAGGGAGGACGGAGGGGATGTTGGGAGGAAGAGAGGCGGATGTTGGGATGGCCTTTACGTGGGCAGCAAGATGTGCGTCTTCGTCCATGAACACACACATGACGCGGGCAGCAACTTTGTGGTGGATGGTGGTCTTGTTGTCTTCACCGATAATGTCGATACTGAATTCCTGCAGGTAGGCATTGGCATGGGTGCGGTGTGGGTGAGGAATATAGTGATGCGAACTCCGGGGAGTCACAAGGGTATCTACCTCGAGAGGCGAGCTAGTAGGATCGTCCTTGAGGGGATGCTACTGAGACAATCTCTCTTAAAAATGAGAGGGATCAAAAGAGAGACTGAAGCCGAAGGTATGCAAAGGCGCGCGGAGATGTGTGAAGCCGATGCGACGGGCGCGCACAATGCGCGAGGGACGTGGAAGAGTCGGAAAGCGCGTGATATGCGCGAAGTAGAGAATCGGCGATGTAGGACAATAGAAATCCTATGAGAACTGATAGACGAGCCTTGATAGACTGAGGAGATGATAGACAATTGCAGTGATGGTATTAGCGCTCTATGCACGACTAGGCAGAAATACAGATACTGAGTCCAAGTAGCAGAAAGTAAGTAAGTCCCAAATTCTCTAAGTCCTCTAGATATGTGAGTCGCTACACGCGCTCTCAGGGTAATGAAACATAAGGGAAGCGGAAGCGCGCAAGGAAGCGGATAGGCGATAAGTCAATATGTAAAGGACCCTGGATGTGGTCAGTGACAGATATAACAGTGAGAACACGCACCAACGGAGCCGGACAGACAGGACATGACATGAGGGGGTAATCCAAGTAGGGCGCTAATGAGTAGGTATGCGCGCAAGACGCGCAAGTCTTGCGTGTGAGCACGGGTGATCGCGTACGTCGCGCGCGTGTCTATAGGACTGCGCCTACCTATGGATAGTGATGAGGTCGATGTGAAAATAGGGTGATATGAGCCTGTAGAGATACCGCTCTCTACAGCGGGTAACCCGCCCGGGTAATTGGCAGGGGTATGGGTATGCTCGCTGGGTACCCACCACCCATCCGGACAGACATGATACCCGTCATCCCAAAAATGGTATTTTGGCACATGGCACATATATTAAAACTATATAGCATCAGAATAACCTTATTACAATCACTACACAGATTTTGTACCAACCAAACTCCCACAGACTTCGAGAAGCCCACCATATCCCCACCATAACCCCATCCACCACAATGTTCAGCAAGCATGTTACTAAATTTACCAAAAAGGCAGCGCAGGCCGTCGCAGAGGGTGGCCTCAAGCTAAAACGTAAGATTAGCACAAGTAGTCAAGAACCTTCGTGGGGCAAAAAATTGAAGAACAAACCTTCAACACCAGAGGATGTTCCTTCAATATCTGAAGAATCGATTCGTTGTGGGTAAGGAAAATAGAAATGCTAACTCTGGGGAGTTGCAAATATATCTACCTCGAGAGGCGAGCTAGTAGTTTCATCCCTTAAGGGATGCTACCGAGGCGAATCTCTCTAAAATGATGAGAGGAATCAAGAGATGACTGAGGCCTGAGGAAGTGCGAAAGTGCGCGGAGATGCGCAGCAAGAGTGCGAGAAGTGCAAGTAGTGCTGGGTATGTGGAAGGACGTGACCGAAGTGCGAAGCGCGCGAGATATAGAGAATGGGCGGCGCCTGACGAATGGGAATTCTTGAGGGGAACTAATGAACTAATCTTCACAAGAGTATGGAGAGGATAGACAAAACAGTGATGGTATTAGCACTCTTCTCACAACTAGACAGGAGAATTGATAGTGAGTCCAAGTAAGGGAAAAGTAAGTAAGTTCCGACAACATCTGAGTCCTCTAGATATGTAAGTCACTATGCGCGCTCTCAGGGTATTGAGACGTAAGGGAAGCGGATAGGTAGCGCGGAAGCGTAAGCGAAGCAGATGTATGTAATGTGGTGTGTAACAGACCCTGGATGTGGTCAGCGATGGTAATAAGAGTGTGAATACGCACCAACGGAGCCGGATAGACAAGACAGGACATGGGAAGACATGGGAGGATGTGCCGAGTATAGCGCCTATATGCAAACGGGGTGCGCATGTAGCGCGCTGTCTTCTTACTTGAGGGTCTTATATAAAATCAGTGTAAAATGCAGTGACAATCACAACTACACTTTGATAAGACTTGAAGTTGCCAGCTCCTCAAGTTCACAGTCAACGGATTTTCTACTTCTCGGTTGATAATGTGTTGTTCGTGGGTGGTCAAAGAGTAAACAAGTTACCTCTATTTGTTTGAAGAAACTATATAGAAATGCAACTGTGGATTTGTCGTGAATAGAAATATGATAGGTATGTTTCACCCTAGTAGGTCGTGTTTCAACCTATGAAAGTCTGTTTCAACTTTGTCGTGTTCTCCTGTTTCGTGTCTCTCTAGCCGTAAAAGAGAGAGGTGTTCGTTACGTATACGTGGAGCTTAGCTCAAAAAATAGTAATTGTGAGCAACCTAGTTAATTGTATAACTAGAAGTTACTTTGTTGAAATGATACTTGCACTCTCACTATGTCTTGCCTTAATCTCACTCTCGAATAGTGGGATAGGTTTAGAGTGGAAGTTTAACTTAAATCTTACTTCACCTGCACTTTGACTATGTCTTGCCTTGATCTCACTCTCAAATAGTGGGATAGGTTTAAAGTGGGAAGTTTCAATGTCTTCTAGGCACCAATAGCCTGCACTTATGTGTAAAGTGGGAAGCTATATTCACAGGTGTAAAATGGGCTCCTTTTATACCTTTTGGGAGGCCAGATTACTAAGCATGATTCATCACATGGATTGGTAAGAATGTGCTTACAAACCATACCATTTGGTGTGCTGAGTCAGCTTGTTTACTAAGTACATTATAAATACAGTGTTATCTTACAAAGCATGATAAATCAAAGGCATGAGTCATGGAGGTGCAAACTGAAGGCAAACGGCCAAATAAGAAACGACATCGCTCGGGTATAGAGTTTAAAAGTCCGGTTAAGTCCGGTCTTTTGCCTTATTTGGAGGCAACCGGACCAGGAATAGTTGCCTTATTTGGCCAATATCAAAAGACCTGGACTGAAACCTGTAAAGACCTTGTTTTGGTCTTTTGCAGTCCTACAACCGGTTTTAGACCGGTTCCAGTCGCAACCGGTCTAAAACCGGTCTATGACTGGTTGTACTCCTTCCCACGATTCCAACGGTCTAATTTTTGTAGTAAACGGTTAAGATCTGAGCAAGATATGAGCATTATAAAAAAGGGTTCCCAAACTCCGCCCTGCATGTGAGTCAAATATGAAATGTCATTACTATGCTTAAGTTTCTTGACGAAATATGTGCTGCTAGTCAAGGCGACACTATAGCTAGTCTTATCTTGTCAATAGGGTAAGATATAAGCAAGATATAAGCAAGGCAAAAAATCGTTATCAGGCTTGTCTTTGAAAACTAAAAGTTGTTATAAGGCTTAGCTGTCTCAATGCTAATTGTAGTCCTAGGATATGCGAGTCTATAGCTAGTCATAACTTGTCAAACACTCAAGGTTTGGGTGAGTTATAAGCCAATCTTTGATTTTCATGCTCTTATCCTCTGATTTTTGCATCCCTTGTTTGAAATGCTTATATCTTTCTCAGATCTCAACCATTTACTACAAAAATTAGACCATTGGAATCGTGGGATGAAGTACTACAACCCTACAACCCTAACCCTAACCCTAATACCGGTCGCAACCGGTGTTTATCGGTTTTCAAATTTTCATAAAGGCAGGCAACCTGCAACTGGACTTTTTCTGAAACCAGGCAACCGCAACTGAAGTCCAGTCTTTTAAAGTCCAGTTTCAGTCCAGTTGCCAGTCTTTTTTCAGTCCGGCAACTGGACTTTAAAACACTACTTGGGTAACATGTTCTTTTGTGTTAATCACTGAACGGTGCTGACTCTGGTTATTTGCCAGTGTTGTATATCGCAAATGATTGTAATTGAACCAAAGCTCACAGTGAACGAGCAAGTAGACTTGTTCATGTGGTATGTTTGGAAGGCTATGTCTTTCATTTGATATTGGTAATCATTCCTACCAGGTCGAGGATCTGGACAAAGCATCAAGACCATTTATTTTCCTATACATTGCAAGGTACGAGCTGTTTAGTCTTCCTTTATGTTTACTTAGTATCACCATTCTATAGACCAGAATCCATCTTATCAAAGAATGGAAAGTCCGTGATACATACATCTCCTGCCTTACAAGCAGCTTTCGATGTGAAGGGAGATCACCGTCCCATCATGGACATTCATGAGACAGCAGTGGCATATGTTCGTAAACAAATACTGAGCAACAAGGACATCATTGCTATCAACGCAGAGGTTCATCAGGCAGAGGCTGAGAAGCACCGGGTCATGAATGAGCTCCAAAATCTTCAGGAGACTCATAGTCACGAGCTTTTGGCTGAGCAACAACATCATCAGGCAGTCAAAGCTCAGCTTGCATCACTTACACAGCAACTGGAACTTAGTGCATATAATTTTTAATGTTTTAACGAGACGACAATGATGGACATCTACATATACATTACTTACATCTGTTCACAACTTCTACGATCACTTAATTGGCTACTAATGTACATACATTTACAACTGGCTAATCACAACAGATAAATCTACTTGGCATGCATGATATGTATCCTATTGATGGTGTTCCGATTCCAGATATTGAGAAAAACTTTGGTGTACTGTACCGCATGATCGTGAATCATGAAACTGACACTTTGCGTATTCTCTTGATACCTTTGTTCCCGCATTCAGCTGCACTGGCGTTTACAGCACGAACACAATCATCAAATCGCATAGCATTGCTTGCAAAGCAAGCTTTGCCACAGCGAGTGTGATCATGAGCATGCATTTCATCAACAAGGAACCATGTGTGCTGGAAATAGCGGGCTTCACGGACGAAGCTGTACGGTGCGAGTTGACAAGCAAAGTCATAAATAATGACTTTTGGTGCAACTGGAAATTGGGTATAGATTGCAGAAAAGACATCATTTCGGCCTTCTGCAACTGGGATAGAGTGAAAGCCGAGACAGACAGAATGTGTGCACCAAAGTACGAGGATGCCACCAGTGAGATTGTTTTTGGAGTAGGTTTTGTAAAACTTATTGCAGTCACCCATTTCTTCTGTGTCCCGATCAAGTCCTTGGTTGTCATACCGAAGTTTTGAGTATATCCATTGTTTCCAAATCTCTGGTAAGCCATAACATGTCCCGGTTTTCTCCCAAGGCTCAGATGTGAGCTGAAGCATAGGACCAGGTTTGTGTTGTGCTAAACGAGTGTAAACATCATCCACACGTATTGCAAGCCAACCTGCAACATTTCGGATGTCATTTGGGATGGGACATTGTCCATTCACGTGTGCATTGATGATGGCTCCAAACACTGGACATATACTCTGTAGCCAGTTTGGTGTGTTCCATTGTTCTCTCAGTTTTCGTAATGGTTCAATTGCTGCCACTGGTATTAGCTGCAATATAATATCGGGTGCGGCAATTTGTTGAATGAGATCTCGATAAGTCCAATAATATGGGCTGTTCATGCCATTTGAACAATAGAGGTGGATGAAAGATGACAATTCTGGGTATTGCATGTCAATCTTTGACATGTCCGGCAGGATATCGGGGATATGTGTGACTGTAGCATCTAAAATTTTGTTCACTGTGGTACAAATGTCCTTCTGAGGGATAGCTGGAAGGCATTGAGCACAATATGATGATATGGAGTCCACCCGCTCACTCCTCTCATCAACAGAGGTCGGTGGTGAGATGAACTTCGTCAATTTGGATATGTGAGTTCCCAAACTGACTCCATCTGTGATTACAATGTTGGGAGATGAACCACATGTAGGGCATTGCATACCACTATCGAGACACTATTGTCGGGTGAAGGCAAACCAGACTTGAACAAAGGTGTCATACGAGCAAAAGTTATTTTCATCTCCAGCGTCTTGATAGGAATGTCGTACAGTCAGACAAAATGCAGAGAACGGCGTCTCCGATGCGGTGTATGCATTCAACAGCTCATGCAAAAATAACATTCTGTTGTTCCAGTTGAATATACCATGGTCTCTGAGATCAGGGCCAATGTGACAATGAGAATGGCAACAGACTGGACAAGGGAGTAACTCAATTGTCACTGTACGTTGAACAGTAAGTCCATATAACACAGCTGTCTTTAATACTTGAAGACCAGAATGGCCTTGGAGGACTGTTTGCATCATCGATAAACCACAGACACACTGCAACAAATCTTCAACGGCGAAGTAAGATATAGTCGACACTTGTCGGAGAGGAAGGGTAGCTTGTTCGGCAGGTAGAGCACACCATCACAGAGGAGGAATAGGGAGATACGAGATAGCCCGATGGTTTGCCATGTTAACTCCGTATTGTGCCGCATGAACAAGGATGGCACTCTCCTCATCACCAACTACATAATCCACCGCACCCATTTGGTGACCATCCTGCGTGTTTGTCATAAGTCCAGCCGCCAATGCAAAAGCTTTTGCATGTGGCTTGTGTTTGCAAGCATCTGAGTAGCAGCACAAATGGCAATGCCAACGGCCATCCTGCTGCAATGTAATGACAACATGTTTCCCAGACTCGTAGCGACCCACAGCCGATGCACACGAGAAAATGTACTTGTTGTTGAAGGGCGTCGACTGTAGTAAAACTGCAGGAGGGGCAGGGAACGGAGCAATGAGTGGGAGGCAGCGCAAGGTGTCGATGAAGGAACACAGGGTGTCCTGATGGATACAGGCATGAGCAGCCTTCCAGAGTGGACACATACACGCAACCCCATACTCGTCATCACTCCGAGGTAGGTAGACCACATGAAAGTAAGATCCCAGCTGAGATGGTCTGGTCAGTACAAAAATTCTGCTATGCATTTGTTATCCTACCTGCAGAACTTCCTCATCACCATCCCAATCCTGCAATACCCACAAATCTGTGCTAATCATAAAAACAGCATCTGCTGCTACTAAAGCATCCAAGTACAAGGTGCGGGTGTACAGATCACTGACATGTAGCATCGAGGAACTCCAAATGAGGTCATTGTCCAGTACATCAGACAGCATTGTGTCCGGTAGCAGGCATGGCTGTTCAAACACATTCGGCTGGATATCACCTTCATTCAAAGGGGGAAGTATCGGTGACTCTAGTATGGGCTGACGGTCTGCTATACCTGCAGATTGAGTCGGTGAGATGAGAGTTTGCGCGTGTTTGCGCTTCTGACCAGCGCTCGTAAGATTATTGATAAGTACACGACAGAAGGTTTCGAAACGGATACTCCCGTGGTTTCCCGATTCGGCGATCCTGGTAAAACACGGACATGTCAGTTCTTGTCAGACACAGTATTCTCAGTCTTGGTATTTCCATCAGCAGTTATCCCCGGTGGCTTGTCACATTTGTTTGTGCATGTTGTGGTAAATGAAACAAACTGAGAAACAAACTGGAAATAAACGGCAGCTGTCCAGGCCCTTAGACTATTGCAGCAAGTCCTCGACACTTCTAAATTCCAACATTGTGGAAAAGGGAGCAAATGATGAGCGATCGCGATTCTGGACCTGCTATTTGGCATTTCCCTCCTGCTACATCACAAAAATTACTCAGCCCAGACATGACCATACATAGTCATGTCTGCGGTATCTATACTGTCGAATGTATCGGCTGCCGGACCCAGTATGTATTATCATCCTAGAGAACGCGAAGTTCAATCAAGATGGGCATCTACAACATACATACTTCAGCTTACGACTTTGTTCATCATGTAGATAGTTCAGATATTGTGTATCACTCAGATATATCCATGCAATGCGATGTATTTTCAATCTATACGATGCCACAAGAACATGTTATACACTGTAATGTACGAAAATGTGAGTCAAAGTAGTGAGTCCGATCATCTATCAGGCGGGCTCCGGATGTAAGGCATGCGTCGTGAAGATAAAACGAAACAAAGAGTCAGAGAACCATGACGAAAGCGTGAAAGCATGAAAACTGAGTGGAATGGAAATGTGAATGAGTCCTGTAATAAGATATGAGTACTAGGCCAATAAGACGACAGGAACGTACCATGCAACAAAAATATTCACCCGTCTACCTCCTGCGTGTTTGCTTCCTTGCACGTTTTGCCGGCCGAATGAGGCACAGTCCAATTGAAAATGCGGTGATTCAAGAAACGGTCGCTGAGTCCAGAGTGATGGAGTCTTCGAACCTTTAAGTGTGTTGCGTCGTCCGAACGTGTTCCGCTGATGACAGTATATCAGTACACAGTATATGCGCATATATGCAGCATATAAGCTGATATACTCACATTTCCAGTGCCTACCAAGAAGCCGACCGGTTTTGTATTCCGTCCATGCCAAGGTGATGATAGCATGAAACCGAACCATGGTCTGGTCCAACAAAATCGTCGAACCCAGAACTGTACCCTTGCAAACAGTTCGGAATGGTCAGGTTCGGTTTTTTGGGGGTTCGAACTTGAACCGAACCCCAAAAAATTCCAGCTATGAGTTGTTCTATGTAGATGCGGGTGTGGCTACGGACTATTCGTGGCGAGAGCCTGTGGTCAGGTGCTGAGAGGCGAGGGGAGCATGCCTGTAGGGGAGCAGAACAAAGACGAGATCGCCATGCAAACAGAGACGTGACTCTGATGATATGCTCGAAGTAGACCAACATTAAAAGAATGACAGGTCCGACGGTAAGGAGGACGATGTTCACGATCCACAGAGTTTGGAGTGTGAACACGATCATTATAGCACCAAAAACTGATAAGAGAATTGTAGATGCCACCAGGTGGGATAGCAATGAAAGAACTCACGCTCGAAATACACCGGCTCACTTCCTTGTCCAACTGTGCGAATAACACCACGCACAAACACGTCGCCAGTGATGACATTTGCATGCAGACAAGAAGTACTCCATGGCGCCAGAGGAGCGCGAGAAGTTGCTCGGAAAAGTAGTGACCATCTTGAGGATTCCAGTCAGCAAAGTGATACAGCACATGTCGCTTTGAATTGCTCACCCTCCCGCTGCCTTCAAGGTTCAAGAAAGTATCAGTGACATTGGCCCACGGATGCTCCATGAAACTGACGAACCAGATTAGTAAGTGCAAGGCAAAGAAAAAGCAGAATTGTAGCATACACATGCGCTCCATTTAAGCGGGAATTGCAGCACCACGATTCACAGCCAGGACATGTTTCTAGCGATGGCAGGGAAGAAGTGAGGACAGTCGAGCGAGGAGCACAAACACTCCACGTACTTCCAAAAACGACTTGACACTGAGCAAAGAGAGTTGTCAGTGAGACCCGTACCCGTGAAGGGAAGATAGTGGAAGCAGTGCGCATATACTCACCTTCAGGTAATAAATGCGGATATACTCTGTGCAGAGATATACTAGTGTTACCTTGAACGGAGATTCACTGGCAGGTTATAAACTACAAACAGTAGCCACGAGGGAGATGGTGGTGGTGGTGGGAAGAGAAATGGGTAAGTGGAGAAGAGAGGCCTGGTTGGGGAGCTGGTCGAGTTCAACCTGTTGGAGCCTTACATAAAACAACCCCAACATTTTGCGCGGAAGTGACAAAGCGGACCAAACAAAGGACTTGGAGGAAACTGAGTGTGCGTAGATCTTGTCGACAATATTAATGTATTGCATCTATCATGTAGATACAAACACATCACAGACGCACGTCATTGTGATATGTCTACATCAGGTCGGGATGTCGCCGACATGACCCAACAAGCGCTGTGGCGCACAATGGTCTAAATCGGGTAATATCTCAGTTGAGCAATTTTTGTGATGTACGTATGGACGCAACAACGGACCATCACATCTATCATCACACATCGGGGATCCGAATATTTAAGACTGGTTTGAATGTCGTGCGAAATGTCAAGATAATACTTAATATTTAGGTTGTCGTCTTAGCGGATGTAAAATTTCAAATGTTAAAGAGGTCTTGCATGACAAGAGAAATATAAAGTATCAGCGAACATTTTCTTACTGTCTGAATGTCAATGACAACAAGAAATATAAATATATCTTTAATGCTGGCATAAACTTCGAAATGAAACTTCACATTTAAGACTCGAAAAAACTTCAATTTTAGCACGTGACTGAACATCTGCTCATGTATGAAGTTTAGACCGTCATTTAGACGGGCGTTAAAATTCAAAATACCCCCTGACAATAAAATGTGAAAATAAATCATCAAGTTTTATCTCTAGATAAAACCGATCGCCCGACGATCACCCACTCACGGCTGAATCATCGCCCACTTACAACGTCATCGCCCACTTGAGTTTGAGATGCTAAATATTAGGGGACTAGACGATAAGTTATAGACACAAGCCGCTTGATGCCTTTCGGTTAGAAACACGCGTTAACGATTAGGGGACTAGACGATGACTTATATATACAAGCGCGTTAACGCACTCTTATTCAAATGGTATAGTAGATGTACGTGAATCTATGTAGTAGAGTGAAATAGACAATCAATCCTGCATGACATAGTCAGATACCAGTGATTTCTCGAGGTGAATGAATGTACTTACAAAATCATTTCAACTTGTATACAGGCTAGTGCTAATTCTCTGTAAAAGCTGAGCAGGAGATTAGAGACGCACAAGTAACAACCAATTTATTCTTACCGCTTGCTTTGGTGGCAAGAAAACTGCAAGATGCTGCGTTGACGTTTTTCATCATTTTGCTGGTGCCCGCATTGAATTTGAGTGAGCCTTTCCACTGCGAGCCAGTCATTGGACCGTTAGCATCATTAGTGAATTTAAGTCGCTCTCGTGAAACGCCCTGTCGAATGTTGCCCAGGCATAACTGGAACCAGGATTCACATCGACTGGACCAGAACCCCACGTTTAGTCCTGAGGCAGCCCAGGCCTGGGGCCTGGGCCACCAGGAGACAATTTCAACATTCCCGTCGTCTAGATTATTCAAACATAAGCGCCTCTGTCGTCGATGTAAATGAGAGAAACTCACTGGTATGCAGATAATACGTCCCACACATGAAATCTATCTCCTCTTCTGACAGCTCATCATCGAAATAAGTCTGGCCATTAATGTCCAGCATGAGGCCAAACGGTACCGCTTCCCGTGAAATGCCATCGAGAACGGAGGGGAGAACATCAAACCCAAGACTATGTGAAGCCAGCCGCCATATGAGGCCACCATGAAGAAGTGCCGCTCTTGCAGCGAGGCTGGTTCAGGAACTCGTGACGGTGCTGCTCGTACACGATGTAGTCAGCAAAAACTGGCCTAAAACGGGCGAGCCTGCTGATCCTCAGGGGGGGAAGACGTGTCCGAGCGAGTATGTGTGGAGTTCCATAAGTGGGCGTCGAGCGTGAGGTGGAACTGAGATTGGCTGCAACGTCTTTATAGCGATTCCTTTTTCCATGAGGTTACACGCGATCTTGGTGATATCCGAGCCCCAGTCACGCCTGGAGGCACATCACAGCCGTAATAGCGTCGGGAACCGCCAGTTTCCAGGGCACCAGATTTGACGACAGTGACTCGATGATGTAGAGCCGCTGATTGGGTTGTTGCACAAAGGAAACTCGAATGTGTGCGTTCGAGACTGACAGGGACGAGTCAGGTCCTAGATCCCAGAGATCGGGCGGGATGTCTGACAACTGAGTTTGAGGGAGGGTGACGAGGTAACCTATAAAACATGTGATGACATCCTTCTGTGCATCTGGAATTGACGTGATATCCGTGGGGTTGTCGCCGACGAGTCTGCATAAGTGAGTCCACTGTGTCTTGCGAGCCCAATCATCGAATGTAGTCGATCTGCCTCGGGGTGTAGTGGTGGATGCTGCAAGGTGAAATCCGAGATGAAAATGCAAAATCGAGACAAATCAGCTCAACACTACGAGTGTATTGCGTTGAGGGTGCAACCTCATAATGACCGAAGTAGGCTTCGATGTCTTTCAAGAAACTGGACAAGGGTGGTGGAGGGGCAGGGGGAGCAGGGGTGGGTTCAGAAGGAGCAGGCGCAGGCGGGAAATCATCTTCCTCCCAATCGCCATCGGGGATGCTGGTAAGATCCAATGCATCGCACAAATCCCACTCGTTACGGAACGAGTCATATACCCTGGTAGATTTGCTATATGACATCCAAGTCATTGGTATCTCAGCCTTTGTGAGACGGATGCGTTGACGAAAACCGCCAAAGTCGTCATTAGGTTGCCATTCAAACACCACAACTGTGCTGGATTTGCCGGGGATGCTGTGGTTCATGGCTGCCCGCTCACGACTCTGACGCGACTGCCGTTGAGCTGGTGTTTCCATCTCCTCTTTCCTCTGGTTCTCCTGACGGCGCCGCGCAAAGAATGCCTTGAAGTCTTCTCCTTGCTTCTGTCTAGAGTGGGGTTGGGAGACTGGGAACAGAGAGTCCGCATGTGCCTCGGGAACATCAGACACGGGCTGTGCCCCACTGTTCTGACCCCATCCAAGGACGCTATCGTCCCAGTTAAGGACACTCTGAGTGTTGTCCTCTGGTCGACCCCACGCACTATCATCCGGCTGACCCCACGCACTATCGTCCGGTTGACCCCAAGTGTCAGGCGTCTGCTTGCATTGCACTGCCTCGGTCGCACGGGTGATAGCTGCCGGAGATGGGATATAATGACGCAAGGTAAAATCGACGGCGGCAGAAGTATCCCCAGAAACGCGGACCCAAATTGGAAGCGAGAATTTCTCAAACATGGGCAATTGAACTTGCCAAGGACAGTGAATGGAAGAGATCAAGGCTCCCGTACGTGGCACGTTTGTCGTCAGATCTCCAACGAATGAGCGCAACAACTCAAGAACCCATTCAGCGGGTATGGGATGTTGGGGGTCGCTCGTTAAGATAGCCGTCCACTGATTGGCACCTTGGTATCGACGAGTCATGATGTACCACGAGCAGGTGGCAGCAATTACTGGAAATCCGTCAGGCATCACGAACGATGAATAAACTGGTTGACTTACATAGAAATGCATCGCGCGACCTTATTGCAATCTTTTTTGGCAAGGTTAACGTCTGTATGCCACCATTGGTACCCATAGGTAGTTGGAGGGCGTGGAAGTTTAGTCCCCCATGGAATCAATAGCCCAGCACCCAAACGTTCCTGGCACCAGAGCAGTTTCTGCTCTAAGTCGACCCATTTTGCCCAAATATCGCGGTGGAGAATGTGCCTTCCCGATGTATCTACCTCTGTGAGGAGGGAAAACCTGGAGTGGTTGAGGCATCCAAAGATCGGCCCATCGAAGCTAGGGTTCAAAGGTACAAGGGGAAACCACGGACGAGCTCCGTACGCCCAGCGAGTAGTGAGTGGCGTATTACTATCGTCGGGAGAACTATCGTAGTCTTCGCGAGGATCCCAAAGAGGCTCGTGAGGTATGACGTCGGGAAGGGAGTGTGCGGTGAGAGAGGTATAAACCTGCCCATCACGGACGATGACATGGAGATTGTTATTCATGGAGGCGAGGAGACGCAAAAAGTACAGTCAAGACTACTACCGCAACAGTACAAACTGTTACGTTAGAGATCAGAGACGTTGAGAATATCGCAGTCAAGACTACCGCAACAGTACAAACCATTATGTTAGATGGAAGAAGGTAACGAAATGCGAGAAGTTGGGTGCATCTAATATAGACGTAGCGGAGTTTCAACAAACAATTACCATATCAGTGGCAGTGGCAGTGGCAGCAATACTAGGGGGTGTGGTCTGTGGATTGAGACAAGCGGAGTGTGGATTGAGACGGTGGTCTGTGTGGATTGAGACAAGCGGAGGAAAACAGAACAATGCCAGGACTGTGACTTGGGATGAGTGGAGAAAATTAAAAATTAAAATTAACAACAGAATTTTGACTATGTGGCTTGAGACGTGGTAAAGAACTTGAAGAGAAGTGGAGTTGGTCTCCAACCAGCTAATATTAGGGAGTGATGGATGGTACGTTGACGATGGTGATGGAGGCAGAGAACGCCGGGCAGCACGAGGAGGAAGGATGTCAAACCCATGGAAGACCAGCGAAAAGATGTTAAACCTATGATCAATAAGAGGAGAATAATGTCATGACGACTCACTTCATAGATCTGCAGCTTCTGCCCAAGTTGTTTCTGCGATAGGGGTGTCAAACCCATGATCAATATCGCGAAGGGCTGCCACGGACATCGAACCAGGAAGCGATGGATGTTGACTTAGAGTTATTATTAATAATAGGACGTTGGCGGTGGCAATGAAAGTAGAGAACACCGGGCACGACCGTACATACAGTCATGCCCTGGAAGAAGGTGAGGAAGGGTCGTTGTCGACAAGGAGAATGGGAGGCTCGACAGTACAAACCGTCGAACCTCCTAGAGTAATAGACTAAGTTCCATAGGACTTAGAACTTTGGCGACAAAAGCGCCCAACAATCACAAACACCCATATTAGGGAATTGTTACATAACATTGACTCAGTTTGAACTTTGTACTGTCGACTCTCTCAAGCTACTTCATCGTCCCCATCCTCGAAGCACGACAGTATGTACTGTCGTGCTCATTGAGTTCATCGTTCATCGTTCCTATCTTCGGAGCACGACGGTATGTACTGTTGTGTCTCCTATCCCATTACCACCCACCACCTCGCCAACTCCATCCTTTTTCGCAGAATGATCAAGCCATCAACTCCGGGTCATCCGCCTTCACTTACTGCGATCCTTTAGATCACGCTGGCCCGTTAGTCAGGTAAGCCCATTTGTTGACAGATCCAACCATTAATCAACCAACATGTCCAGCCGTCAACACACGTCATCCCCTCCACCATACATACAGTGGAGTGGGCAATGGCTAACTCGTTCTCGCTTATTGCGACCCCTTGGATCACGTTGGCCCCGTCTTCTACGTCAGGTAACCAAGTCGTTTGTTAAAATCCAACCCCATTGACCAACCGTTAAACGATCCAGCCGTTAAGATCTGTCATCCCCTCCAGCCGTTAAGATCTGTCATCCCCTCCACCGTACATACAGTGGAGGGGTAATTGACTCAGTCCATCTACCAATGCGGTGGAGGGCATAATGCAAAACTTATGTCTATGTTCAATGTGCTGCTACATGTACTGGACGGGAGATAGGTCCTTCGCCTCTTCATCTCCTTTCGCTGCTTGCGGGTAATCAGTATCGCGCTTGCCCCTATGGTCATCTTTGTCGATCTCTCTGTCCGCTTCTTGAGCTAGCTCCAGGATCTTTGCCGCTAATTCCCGAAGCATCACGATGTCATTTTTGACGTATCCTTCGGTCGGCCCTTCCTTGTCCTTCTGGATATCTACATACTCGTCAAATATCATGGCAGCTTGGACACGCTGTGAAAAGTCATCGGCCACATTAATCATTGTTGCCGAAGTCATGTACCCATGTACATGGTTCAGTGTGCTATCCTGAAGGTGCGTTAGTTAGATCCCTGCTGACCAACTGGCCCACTTACCAAAAAGCTGTCTCTATAATTTATCAGCAGGAAGACGCTCATAGATAGCAGTGCCAGTAGTCGTGTCAACATCACCAGTATGTGCGACAGGGACCAGTAATCCCCTGAGGGCGCCTTGGATACCTTCGGCACGGCGTAGTCGTACACCCATATCTTGATTGTAGTTTTCCCGCGCCCTAGCACGGGCGAAGTGCTGGCAATTGTGCAGCGGCCATTGAGATCGCGTGCCTAAACCAGTTCAGTGACATTCTTTCTGACTAGTTTTAATACTTACGGATATTGTTTGCACAAGGCCAGTGTCCGCGTGGTGGAGGGTTTCAAGTGTCTCCCCTGTCTTCCGATCAAATATGTATACTAGCCCATGGTCACTTCCTCCCACAACTACCTTGCCTTCTTCCCCAAATGCCACTTGCTTCGGGACCGATACACTTGGCAAACCAGTTGCAAACGTTCGAAGAGGCTCACCATCACCTTCAAGGCGATATAATGTAAAGCCGTCTGTTGCATTATCTACAACGAAAACGCCCCGCTTTGAGTACACCGCAGCATGACCACTATATAATATGTCAGTAACGCGCCCAGGTCGAGAGCGGTAGTTCCTCACATCACTGATTTGCAGCTAATTTCTTGCACTATGTCGCCATCTTCATCCTTCAGTTTCATGCTGTTCAGCTCTCAGCATCAGGCAATGAAAGTATGCAGTGGAAGGACTGACAAGTTGCCATCATAATCGCTTCTTGGACCCGTACCAGGTGGCACCCCAACTAGGACCCCAGAAACACAACACCAAATTTTTGGTGCTCAACGGCGGCAACGCCTTAAGCACACCTTCTTGCCTCGCTCATACTTAGAATACTCTAGTAAACTCTACTTTAATAATGCCTCCAAACGAAATGTCACAAGACGACGCAAATGGAACAAAGAAGTCCAGGCCTAAACGCGGCAACAACGCGACTTACAGACCTTCAGGAAGATCTATTCCAGACTTATTGTCTGACCCAGTACTTTCGTCCCAAGTAACAAACGAAAACACAGCCAGATCCGAACTAGAGAAGCGTTTCCTTATCACTCCCGCGACAGAAATAACGATGGATTCACTGATCACAGCTCTATTAGACTTCACTATTCAAACCCCTTCCCTTTCGGTCATGTGTATCGACATCATACGAGCAGTGGCCATCCTGCTATTAAAAACAGATCACGAAAAGAAAACCAACAAAATAGCGACAGCAGTAATCGACCTTATCTCGGACTCCATCAATAGACTAGAAAACACCCTCAGCAAGAAAGACCTCAACACAGAACTGGAGAACGCCAACGTAGTAGCAACAATCGCAAGAGCAGAAGACACAGCGGACGGAGTACTCAGCAGCGTGGAGGAGATCAAGAACATCGTCAATCTACTCACTCCTTCCCTCGATTCAGTACAAACTCATCTGAACACATTTGCCACTAAGACCTCGAGTTCGACTCCAGCAGAACATCCCCAATCATCGGAACCCGTCAGATCATACAGCTCTGTGGTCAAACAATCCACTTCCCAAACAGCACCTGTCTCCGCAGCCCTTATACGTGCAGCCACAAGAGAAAGACAAGTACTCTTCGACCCGGCACCAGGACACACCCTTTTCCCACCCGAAGACACTCCAATCATCATCGCAAACAAAGTCAGCCAAGCACTCCAAACCGTACGAAAAGACGACGACCCAGAGATAGAGATCAAAGCTTCACAAAGACTACGCAATGGAGGAGTAGTAATCGAGCTCACAACCTCGTCGGCAGCCCAATGGGCACGGGCTCCAGCAAACCGCCAGACCATAATCGAAGCACTAGGCCTCCAAGCGCAGATAAAGAACCGCACATTCCCCATCATCGTCCCTTTCCTCCCAGTCTCATCGCCAATAGACAATCGCGAATGGATTAACGAAGTCGAAACGGAAAACGATATGCCGCCAAACTCAATCGAGTACATAAGATGGATCAAACCCAAAGACAGACGCGACCCAAACCAACGAGTCGCGCACGCAGTCTTCCACTACGTCAACCCCAAGATAGCCAACATCAACCTACGAGACGGTATATACATAGGCAAAGAGAAACTACACCCGAGGAAGGACAAAAGAGAGCCAGTTAGATGCGTGAGATGCCAGCATTGGGGACACGTGGCCAAGGAGTGCAACGCAACAAAAGACGCATGTGGTACTTGCGGCAAGAACCATCGCACAGCAGACTGCAACGCATACAAGACGTTTTATTGCGTAAGCTGCAAATCAAACGATCATGCCAGCTGGGATAGGAAATGTCCGGAGTTTGAGAATAGATGCGCAGGGATCGACGCCAAGCTACCAGAAAACTCTATGCCCTATTTCCCTACTGACGAAGAATGGACCCAGGTGTTACTCCCCCCAAAACAACGTTCCAACTACAACAACAATCCTCCCCAAGAACATCCATATCAAGACCGGCACACGAACGCAAGACCATATCAATCCACACTAGACCCCAGACGCCCAAACACAATCGTAAGACAATTCCAGCGAGCCTATACGCCATCAGGACCCAACGCCATCCCCATCAAACACCCAAGAAGATCACCAACCCCATCAGACACCTCTCCGACTACCCCAGGAGAAAAACAACACATACCGGCCCTCAACTCTCAATCCGATGACAGCATCTTCCACACCCCTACGTCTACTCCCCTCCTACCTCGTCAAAGCAGAATCACACGAACACCATCCGTCTATAATGTCTAACGAAGATAACGAACCCGCGACAAGGATAAGTATATGGCAACAAAATATGAACACCTCAGCAATAGCGCAACACTCTTTACTAAACGGCCCAATAGCTCAAAACTGGGATCTACTCACATTACAGGAACCGCATATCAACGCTACGAAAAACACAATCTCTTCACCCTATTTCCACGCAGTATACCCATCAACCAGATATTCATCCCCAGACTCAAGATCAAGAGCTGTCACACTAGTAAACAAATCTATCAACACTAACGCCTGGCAACAAATCCCTTTCCCATCGCCAGACGTGGTCATAATCCAAATTCGCGGCAACTTTGGCCGATGTACCATAATTAACATATACAACGATTGTAACACCACAACGACACAAGACCGACTCGCGACATTCTTCGAAACTAACATGGCACGCTTACGACCAACGGATGACGACCACGTACTCTGGCTAGGAGACTTTAATAGGCACCACCCATTATGGGACGAAGATAGAAACACCCACCTCTTCACGGCGCAATACCTCAACGCCGCACAACCATTATTAGACCTCATTTCCGACTATGGAATGATAATGATGCTGCCAAAAGGGATACCAACGTTGCAATCAACCGCCACCAAGAATTGGACAAGACCGGACAATGTCTTTTGCACTGAACATACTGAACCTTATTTTATAACATGTAACACCAACCCCGCGTTACGCGGTCCAGCAACTGACCACGTACCAATAATCAGCATACTCGAACTCGAAATCCCGCGAGCGGACGTAGAACCGGTCTCAAATTTTAAGGAAGTCGACTGGGAAGCGTTTAATAAACTCCTCGAGACGGAATTAGCTAAGCTCCCCCCGGTTCAGCCGCTGGTTACTAACGACGAATTTCAAAGGGCCGCAAGAGACCTCACAAACACCATCCAGAGGGTCATCATCGAGAAAGTCCCTCGCTCACGCCCAAACCCTCATTCCAAGAGATGGTGGTCGAGAGAACTCACTCTAATGCGCCGCGAAGTAGCGAAATTAGCTAACCTATCCTATAGAACGAGAGGAATCCCACACCACGCCAGCCATGAAGAACATCGAATCAAGAGGAACCAATATTCGGAGGCGATCAAGCAAGCGAAAAAGCACCATTGGACCGAATGGTTAAACGACATGTCAGGCAACGACATCTGGATCGCAAACAAATACATAACATCAGCAGCAAGCGATGGAGGATTATCACGCATCCCAACGCTCAAACAACGCAATGGAACAGCGGACACAAACGAAGAGAAAAGTATAGCGCTAGCTCAGGCCTTCTTTCCCCTGCCCCCACTTCATTCCTCTGTACCCGCTGACTTCGTATATCCAACAGCCGTCCCTACGCCAGCCCCAATCACCGAAGACCAGATCAAACGAAGCATATCGAAACTCAGTCCATTCAAGGCACCAGGGCCAGATGGCATATGCAACGTGGTTTTCATCCGATGCGCCAAGTTACTAACCCCTCACTTACTACAGATATTTAGAGCGGTATTCACGCTGAAGACCTACTATGACCCTTGGAGAGAATTTATAACGGTAGTATTACGCAAGCCGGGTAAACCGGACTACACGGTAACGAAAGCCTTCCGCCCGATAGCGTTGCTCAACACTACCTGCAAGCTATTAACAGCGGTAGTGGCAGACGAACTAACCTACCTACTAGAGCACCACAACCTCCTCCCAAGCACCCATTTCGGAGGTAGACCGGGGCGGTCTACAACAGACTCATTGCACCTACTGGAAGCAACTGTGAAAGACGCGTGGAGACAGGGTAAAGTAGTTTCAGCGCTTTTCCTCGACATCGAAGGGGCTTTCCCAAACGCGGTAACCGATCGATTACTACACAACATGCGCGCGCGGAAACTACCAGAATCATTAGTAACCTTCACCGAACGCCTATTGATAGGAAGACGCACCAAATTGAAGTTTGACGGCTATTTATCCGAATGGATTCCCATAATGAACGGGATAGGTCAAGGAGACCCCTTATCTATGATTTTATATGTGATATATAACTCTGACTTAGTTGATGTAGCATCTAATCGAGAGAAGACTGAACGCACTCTGGCGTTTGTGGACGACACAGCCTTTCTAGCAATCGGGAGAACGTTTCAAGAGACCCACCACGTACTAAAGAACATGTTAGAAAGACCGGAAGGGGGATACGCTTGGGCAAGTACTCACAACTCTAAATTCGAGGCCTCAAAGTTTGCATTAGTAGATTTTTCAATGAATAACATCAAAGAACGTCCACCGTTGATAACAAGAGGAATAACGATCAATCCCTCACCAACGCACAGATTCTTAGGCGTGATTCTAGACCAGGCGCTCAGATGGAAGGAGCACATAGCCTTCGCCATAGCTAAGGGAACAGCTTACGTAATGCAGCTACGTCGACTCTCTAACTCCTCGTCAGGAATATCACTATCACTCATGCGCCAATTATATTTAGCGGTCGCTCTACCCAAAATGCTCTACGCTATAGACCTGTGGTTCCGCCCAATCTACTCTGGAAGCTCCGATAACCCCAGACGCGGCTCCATAGGCATCGCAAAACGATTAAGTCGAATTCAACGTACCGCGGCAATCAATATCACAGGGGCAATGCGGACGACGGCCTTAGACACCCTCGAAGCTCACGCCAAACTCATGCCCCTTCAACATCGCCTGCAAAACCTATGTTATCAAGCAGCCATACGCCTCGCAGCTCACCCGCCCACTCACCCTCTATATCTCCCAACCCGCAAAGCAGCCAAGCGTTTAGTAAAGCGACACCAATCTTCGCTCCACCATCTCATCCACGCAACGGAACTGGACATAGACTCGGTCGAGACCATAGTCCACATGCGCCGAGCCCCCAATACCGTCCCACCATACTCCATTTCGATTGCGGCAACACGAGAGGAAGCAATAACTGAACATGACGCAAACATGAGCGAGATCAATATATACGCAGACGGCTCGGGAATCGAGGAGCAGATAGGCGCATCAGCCGTATTAATAAGACAAGGACGCCCGCGCAACCGGGTCCTGAGGTACCACTTAGGATCTAAGGAAGAACATACAGTATACGAGGCGGAATTAGTCGGACTCACCTTAGCAGCCCAACTACTAGCAACGGAGAGAGACGTGACATACCCTATAGCGATTTTCATCGACAACCAAGCGGCGCTAAGATCAGGTGAACTTTTCTCGACTAAGCCAGGCCATTACCTGATTGACCATTTTCGTAGACTAATATCCAGAGCGAAACGAACGAACAGAGACCCGGACTTCAAAGTAACGCTACATTGGATATCAGGCCATGACGGGGTGCCAGGGAACGAAGAAGCAGACAAGGAAGCCAAGAGGGCAGCAAAAGACAAGAGAGACACCAGCAACCGCAATAAACTCCCTCCATTCCTTCGAAAGAACTCTCTCCCATGTAGTATTTCGGCACTGAAACAAGCGCAAAGAACGGAGTCAGCCGCACGATGGGCAAGAATATGGGCCAAGTCGCCCAGATATCAAAGAGCGGCAGCAATCGACCCCAACCTTCTCTCAGGATCGTTCATCAAATTGGTCAAAGGTTTACCCAAGCGTCACGCCTCCTTACTGCTATGGCTACGCACCCGTCATATCTCACTCAACGCACACCTCCACAAGATCGGCAAACACGCAAACCCAGATTGCCCGCATTGCGCTAATGTACCAGAAACAGTAGAACACTATGTCCTCGCATGCCCCCATTACGAACATGAGCGACAAGTCCTACGAAACGCACTTCGACGGAAAGCATCTTCACTCCCATACCTCCTATCCAACAGCCACGCTAGCACGCACCTCTTTCGTTTCGTCAACAATACCGGTCGCCTCAAAGCCATATTCGGTGATGTATCCCCCCCTCCCAAGAAAAACACGCAATGACAAATCCTTGCAGCATTATACACTAAATCAACTCAATCAAAATACAATCCGCAAATAATATACTATTTATCACGGCAGAAAGACACTCAAGATAGGAGACAAGTCGGAAATTATAGAGAGAACCGGAATAGACAAGTCGACGGCGGCACAGCGCAAGAGTCCGCCCTCAAGTTCCAGATCCCACTACTCATTCAACGCTCTCCAATCATTCTTTCCCCGTACGCATCACGTACTTGTTTCATCCAAACCACATGAAAAGCATACAATACCACGAAACGTATTAGTCGGGTAACGCCTACTTAGCATTCTCGTGCGTCTAAAACGGCCGGCAGGAACGGCGGACCATTGGGGGAAACTCACAATGGGGCATTTGCAGAGAAAGAGAAGCGGAGGGGACACAGGTGTCCCCTCACCTAGATAGAATGTCCTACATAGGGTATATACCCCAAATGGACAGTAATTCGATAAAAAAAAAAAAAAAAAAAAAAAAAAGGTGCCATCATAGAGCCCGAACACATAGATGCTCCGGTTGTCTGCGAACACTACCGACTTGGGCACCGTATTTTCAAGTCGCACTGCGAAGACGGGCTGGAGCTGCGAGCTTGTGTTGAGCGTCAGAACCTGAACCATTTTGTCTCTAGTTCCGACTACAATTCGTAGGTTTCCTTCAGAGGAAGTTGAACGCCATGACAAGCATGTGATCTCAAATCCTGATCCCAGTCTCCTGGCGCATATTTCCTGGAATTTTTCCTGTTGGCGTCAATGGACAGTCGAACAGCAAACCTAGGCACTTACATTTGTGAGACTGCGTCGTAAACATACGATATAACCCAGGCCTGTTCCATAACAGAGGGTTTCTGCCGCGGTTTTCGTAGTCGTGGCCCAGATTGCGCAACTGACTGTTCCCCTTGATTCATGATGATTGGACGAAGATGTGAGTTCTTTCCGAGATTTGATATCCCAGATTTTGATTCCCTCGGTACCTGTTTGTTTGTTAGCCCTGTCTATGACCGAGTTTCTGCTTTCTTACCACCGCATGCAAGCAGGTGTCCATCATTAGAAATCGCAAGTGCATGGATAGAGCCATTATAGGCAGTTAAACGAGCGAGCAGCTTGTAACGCAGTGGCTGCGCTGACTTGTTGAACAATGCAAGGAAAGACATTATGATATAATCCGCTGTAGTCGCCCGCTCACAATGTATTTATCTGTACTTCTCATTTGTTTTCAAATACTTTTGTATCATTACCGTATTTGTTTCCGTATTTGTTTGATTCCATGATAACTTCATCGTCGACGCCATTTGTGTAGTGCTATTCTTCTTATTCTTCTCTTGAGATACGCTGATGCGGCCCTATTATTCTTATTCTTATTCTTTACAAGCGCTAATCTTGGTTACCATTTTCGAAGCCCCTTATTGTGCCCCTTATTGTTTTCGCTCAATATGGTAATCTGTTGAATACTTTACCTCTCATGAACCATCTTAAGTTCCAGGTAGCTACTCGGTTCTTTCTCTATCATGCGCAGTACTACAGTTGTTCCACCTTTCTATGACTCGGAGCCTGGGGCTCCACCACCTCTTCCCCCAATGCTCACGGACCAGCTAGAGCTGTTTGGCAACGCCAATCGTCGCCCGACTACACTTATTGCCGAGGAAATCCTAGTTCCTCAAGCTAGTATCATTCCCACTGCAAAGGCTTCGTCGTCTACACCCACCCCTGAATTCAAGCTTGCGAAGCCGATGCGCAAGCATTCTGATCGCTCTTCCTCTCCATACACCAAGAAAGCCACTTCCAATTCCACGCACCCCCATTCTCGAATGCCTTCACCCTCAGATTCCTCAGGCTCTTTGGATTCTTTCTCAGATAGCGACTCCTCAACTTCGAGCGTGAGTTTATCAGAAGACTCAAAGATTCCTAAACCTGCCGGTGAACCTGGGCGTCCGGGGCGTGGGGGTTACACACTTCGTGAAGCTTTAGATTGGAATCCAAAGTCATACGCAAAATTCAAGGTTTGCAAATTGTCATTGTACCCTTGGTATTGCAAATTAACTGACGAATTCCTAAGAGGTCTATGCATAGTCTCATCGACAACCACCTTGACACGACAAAATGTGCGTCTGCCCAAAGTCCCATGCTATTGGAAGTCGTGCATGGCAAGGTGAACAGTTTCTCTGAGTCTCGATATTGTCAATAAACTTATCATCTCAGGCGCTCGACAACTTCCCAGACCTTGACAATTATACCAACTTGTGGCCAGTCAACGATTTGATCATGACACGCCTGAAATACACATCTGGACGCGCGAGACGAAAGGAGGGAGAAATGGCTGTAGGCAAGAGCAAGGCCAGGAAGTGATACCCCGACTGCATTATATGTCTCCGTCATTATTACGTGCTGTATGCGTTCTATATTAAGCTGGTGTTCCAAGAATCAAGCATGTTCAAGACAGGATGGATGGAATACCAGAAACGCCCAAGCAACGGAGATGTTTCGCGCATCCTTGGCTTAAAAATAACAGGTGTAGAAAGATTAGTAACCGTGAGTTTTACGCGCATCAGGAAGAGCGAAACTACATCATGCAAGTTGAGTTGTCTGCGAAGCTACCCAGAACCCGTCAGTATCAGTTCAAGCCGGTGCTTTCAAATGTTTAATCAAGATCAGAATGGATCTTGTTTGTATATCTGCAGTCCAGCTGAGAAATTTGGTATGTAACAATGCAAATTATACTACTACTCTACACCTTGCAGCTGACTGACAATTGGCACGAGTCCTCAAGGGTTTTACAAGAGTAAGATCGCGTGGGAGCCTAGCTCTTGGACGACTACTTATGCTTTGCGCAAAGCTGAAAAGATAGTTATGGTAGGCTCAATAGATCATTGAGTTTACTCACTGGTGAATTAAAAAATCAGCAAGCGCATTATCTCTGCCTCGCATGTTCACAACAGAGGGATAGTTGACTCCAACCCTCATAACAACTGCATCGCCTCGGAACTTATGACCACCCTTACTAAGAAGCACGTTGGCTCGGAGACGAAGATGTCGCTTGAAGAAGATGCAGAATCGATGGATGTATCTCCCTTCCCACACATTCACGAAACAGTTGTGAACATAAGGCTGCACTGCAGCCTCCTCGAGAAGGCTTTCCGGAACAGGAAAACACTGAGCAGCGCGTGAGCGGCCAGAGCAACGCGTCAACATAGTGACCTGACGGGGTCTGGTCCACGATGCTGAATATAGCCTGCACCGCAGGTGAAGCTCCGGGGTCTGATTTGAAGGTAAATAAAGGGTGTGAGGTAGTAAGCGATAACTCACAGCAGATGTTGGAAGGATAAATGTGCGAGTGTTTACCATCTGATGATTATAATTCGATCAAGCAATAATCTAAGAGGTGGGCGATGAATGCGGGCGATGAAAGCGGGCGATGGAAGCAGGCTATAGCAGCGATCCGTCTTTTAATAACTTCACGTGCTGAGTCAAAAGACAATAACCATAATCGTTTCGGATGTAGTTGACGAAAAAAATAGCGGGGAGCCAAAAAAAATTATAGCGGGGAGCCAAACCGAAGCATTGCAATGATAATCCTAGTTGTCAAGGGTAATTGTTAATTGTGCGAGGTAATTGTAAGAGTGAATAGAGCAAAAGATAATTGAAAGCAATGGAGATGGGCCTGGACCTGTTGGAACTGTTGTTCATTCATACAACAAGACGTCTAGAAGAATCAAGACAAAAATGCATGCACGAAACTTAAAAATACCCAGGAATGATGTTTGCAAACTAACGATGAATTATTCCCCCGCTATAAGCGCCAATAACATTGACGTCGACATGCAGCATCCTGAGTTTCAGCAAGAAGACGTACAAACGTCTCATGACGCGGATTTATTTGGTGACGATGAAGACGATGATAAGGGTCCTGGCGACTTCATGGATGTTCTCAGTCAGCCTCCCACCAGTGTACTGCAATTCGACATCAGTCAGCCTCCCACCAGTGTACCACGACTCGACATCAGTCAGCCTCCCACCAGTGTACCGCGACTCGAAAAGAGGGCCAGAGAGGAAGTGGTATGTAGATAGTACGAATCAGCTTCCATGACTCATGATACCCATCCAGATATCTGGGAAGCGTCGCATTCAGGAAGTCGACTATTCACAGGTACTTCGCCAGACTGTGTATGAACAACAAGAACGTATTAACAACATTATAGAGGAAACTGAAGTGGTACGCACGAGAAGCTCATTGGGGATACACTGCTGATCATACCGGCAGATACGCCGAGAAGCTCAAGACCACATTGAGGAGCAACGACGTCTTGCAGAAGAAGAGCATGAGCGCCACACGCGTGATTTCAACGAGCGATGGGAAAAGGCTCTGAGAGAGCGAGAGCGGGAAAAGCAAGTAAGTGCAACAGATGCATTCAGTCAGATGCATGCTTACAAGTTAATAGGAAATTCACACATGGCAAGAGCAGCAGCAAGCACTGCTGAGGAAAAACGTTGCTGAAGAACTAGCACAGCATGAAGCAAAAATAAGTGCAAAAAAAGACCGAGAGGTGAGAAAGAACGACTGACCAAGGAATTACTAATGATGGCAAGTAGTTGGCTGAAGAACTGGCACGACACAACGCAGATTTAGATACAAGAAAAAATCAAGAGGTGGGGAAGAACGACTGAGCACAGGAATCGCTAATGATGTCAAGCAGCTAGAAGAACGCGAGAGAGCCATTTTTGCCGAAATGGAGCGAAGGCTACAACTAGAAATAGAAAAAATGAGGGTAGAAAAAGAGAACGAGCTCGCTAACATGGAGCAGCGCTTTGCAAGACACGGTAGGCAACAGCATGCGGCCACGGAAATCGGCACAGACCCCACCCGAAGGAACACTCAACAGCCACCCCACACGCCCCAGAAACCACAGCTCAAGACTCCGTGCCTCGAGACGATCAAAAAGATCAGGAAGGCGCGTGGAACAACACGCAAGATGCGTCTGGTATCTGTAGTAGAGGTAAGTACTAAACGGTCGGAACTCGTTTTAAACTCACGTCATAGCAGGACGCTGACGAGCCTATGGAAATGCATCAAGAACGATCATCGACAATTGAGCAAGAGCCACAGCGATTTCAGCCTGACGATGTCTACCCTATGTCTGCGATGGAAAATGCGATCTCCAAAGGCATAGAGGCGGCACTCAGACGCATCCTCGTCGATAAGGATATTTTGACATCCAGGAAGCATAGTCCTCGAAGGAAAAAGAAGCAGGATGATGAAATTAGGATAGAAAGGGCCGCAGATTTGAGCCACGAAAGAGACTTCCTTCTTGTGAGAGTTGAATTTTTGACGTATATGCTGATGCTAAGCATGAAGTAGGGTGAAATCTGGCGTCTCCTCAAAGATACCTTCAGTATATCTCAAGACGCAGATTTTATTGTGCACCAGCCGGCAGATCGTGGAGATGTGTACTCATACGAGTACGAAGATGGCCCAGGCCCCAACACCCAGAATCTGGCCTTTGATCTCAAACACGGATTTAACACCCCCTGGAATGCGAAAATTCTCGATATTCTCCTTGAAGAATTGAAAAAGAGGAGTGTAGAAGAGGAGTGGCCGTTCCGGAGGTCGGATGCCTATTATAAGGCGATACTCGAAGAACGCTACAAGCGGATGCGGATGGTCTGGAGAGCAGCCCAACCAAAGGTTACAGCAAAGGGCTGCTTGGAGACTGCGGAAGAAGTGGAGGAGAGGTTGATTGCAAAAAGAGGTG